CTCCTCAGTGGCACCTGCCAGTACCCCTTGGCCAGATCCAGTGTAGAAATGACTCTGGCTTGCCCCACTCTCTCTAATAGCTCGTTAATCTGAGGCATGGGAAAGGCATCAAGCCATGATATGGTTTTCACCTTCCTAAAGTTGACACACAGCCGCAACAACCTGTCAGGCTTAGTTACTGTTACGATGGGACTCCGCCCAGGCTATGGGACTCCTGAATAATACCCTGCTCCAGCATCTTGATGAGCTCTGTACAAATGGCATTATACCTATAGTAGGAAATCCTCCTCCATTTTTCCCTAACGATCTGCCTGGGGGGAGGGGGGGGGTGTATTATACAGTGGGTTATTTCCCTCGCGCAACCAGGAATTTTGCTGAAGACATCACAAAATTCCCTCACCAAAACCCCCAACTGGGGCTGCTGCTGAGGGCTAAGTTGGACTCCCACCAGGACTATTGCCTCACCCGCCCCTGGTCCCAGCTCTGCCCCCACCTCCTGACTGAACTCCTCCTCAGGTGGGGAAGAATCAACCAGCAAGCCCTCCTGGTCCTTCCACCCTTTAAGCAAATTGACATGATACATCTGTGTCTCCTTCCTGAACCCTGGCTTCAAAACTTCATAGTCTACAGGGCCCACCTGCCGAATCACTTCAAAGGGCCCCTGCCAACACTTCAGGAGTTTGTTCTCAGTATCAGGGAGCAGCACCAAGACTTTCTGACCATCTTGGATCTTCCTTTCCTAGGCCCTTTTATCATATGTAGCTTTCTGCATCTGCTGTGCTACCCTCCAATGTTCTCGCACCAGCTCCTCTACCCTCTGCAGGCGCTGTCTCATATTCTGCATATATTCCAAGGACCTGAAGCCCCTGTTCAGGCCTTCCTCCCACCTTTCCTTTACAAGGTCCAACAACCCTCTCGGCCGATGCCCATACACAAAGTCAAATGGGGCACACCCCAACAATGACTGCAGGGATTCCCACATCGCAAACAACAATGGCAGAACCATCAGGTCCCATCTCCAGAGATCAGTTTGCACACACCGCCGCAACATATTCTTTAAGGTCCCAATAAACCTCTCCACTAACCTGTTGGTTTAGGGGTGGTATACTGTTGTACATAGGTGTCTAATTCGCAACATCCCACACAGACTCCATAGGACCCCGGACATAAAATTAGACCCTTGGTCTGTGACAATCTCCCTCAGGATGCCCACCCGGGTGATCCATTTTAGAAGCTCTTCTGCCACCCAGGGTCCTGTGACCGTTTGCATGGGAACCGCCTCTGGGAACTTGGTTGCATAGATTCATAGATGTTAGGGTCGGAAGGGACCTCAATAGATCATCGAGTCCGACCCCCTGCATAGGCCTAATGTCTAGTCTAAATCTGCTCTCTGCTAGCTTGTGGCCATTATTTCTTGTAACCCCCGGGGGCGCCTTGGTGAATAAAACCTCACCAATTCCCTTCTGTGCCCCCGTGATGAACTTATAGGCAGCCACAAGGTCACCTCAACTTTCTCTTGCGGAGGCTGAAGAGGTCCAAGTGCCCCAGTCTTTCCTCATAGGGCTTGGCCTGCAAGCCCTTAACCATATGAGTGGCCCTTCTCTGGACCCTCTCCAGGTTATCCATATCCCTCTTGAAGTGCGGCGTCCAAAATTGCACGCAGGATTCCAACTGCGGTCTGACCAGCGCCCGATAGAGGGGAAGTATCACCTCCTTGGATCTGTTCGTCATGCATCTGCTGATGCACGATAAAGTGCCATTAGCTTTTCTGATGGCTTCGTCACACTGACGACTCATGTTCATCTTGGAGTCCACTTTCCACTTCCGTGCCACCAAGCAGGTCATTTCCTAGGCAGTAGGTATGCTGGACATTTTTCCTCCCTAGGTGCAGTACTTTGCATAGTCTGATAAATAGCAAGTATTGATGCCCTGCTGAAATTTCCAGCACGATACGAGAGAATGGGACTTCGATCATGAGCATAAGTTGTAAAGGGGCCCGAACTGACTTACACTCACCCTCTGACATGCCAGACGGGCCTGGTAAAACCTCTCCACCTGCTCATACAGCCCAGACCAAAAACACCATTTTGTTAACTGGCTTCTGTTTTGCTATGCCCCATGTGTCTCCCTAAAGGACTTTCATGGGCTAACTTCATTAGGGGGACCCTAAACTGAGTTGGTATTAATAACTGGACTACCTCCTTCCTCTCTTGTGGGCCTCACTTCACCCGATACAACAACCCTCTTCGGACCCCAAACCTGGGCAGATTTGCATAGCACCCTGGGTCCACTACTACTTCTTCCCTTCTCACCAATTTGGTTTCCTGGATGGCCTGGAACTCCTTCTCCACCTCCTGTGCCCTCCAGAATGTCTGACTACATGCTGGTCATTCTATATCAAAATCTTCTTCACTGAGATCTTCGGCCTGGTTCCCTAACAGGCCAACCCCCCCTCCACAGCCTATCACTTTTTATTAATTTTAAGACTTCATAGATCTCCTTCCAGTCTCATTCTGGAATCATTGAGTATGGCAGGTCATGAGCCACTCCAACGGGCATTTCCTGGATGGTATTCAACACAGTGACCTGATAGATCTTCTGGGGGTAATAAGTACCATGTCCATGCATGCATGTCATCCTGAGAGGGGTAGCCTTTCGAAGGTATTTGGCAGGGGTAAGCCTGCTTTGTATGAACATGTGGGAGCAACCAGTATCCACAACAGCTTCCAACCTCTTGCCCCCAACTCATGCTTCCACCACTGGGGCAGGGCCAAGGGCCTCCCTTAATCTCCTTCCCTACTGTAGAGTCCATGGACTCTATTCCAGCCAGATCCACAGGGCCCGGTGTTCCACCCAACTCTTTAAATAGAGAATGCATCACTCGGGGAGCGGTCCATGGCAGGCTGGCACAGTCTCGTGACATGTGTCCTGCTTTCCCACATTGAAAACAGATCACTACATTACTGTTAGGCCTCCTAGTCTCCAGACACTTAAATGCCAGTGTTGCAGGTGAACAGGGTTTGTTTGTTTTTTTGGAATTACCGCTGTGCCAGCTTAATTGACCACCCACGACAGCCGATCAGAACCATGAAATAGACAAGGGGAAACATCTCCCTCTTCGTTCCCAACGTTGAGCTCCCCTCTTCCTGACGGGGCTTGGAAAACTCCCTCTCCCAAACTCAGCTTCCCCCAGCACTGGGCTGCTGGAGTTGGGAGCAAATGGAGCGTTTCCCACTTCTGCTCCTAATTGCCACCGTGCTGGCCTAATTGACCACCCACGGTGGTCGATTAGCAAAAAAAACCCCAAGCAGAGAGAGCGTCTCTCTTCCTTCTCTCTCCTGTCCTCTCTTTTTTTTTTTCTTTGTTTTTGGTGAGAGCTCCTCTGAGCTCACAAGACCAGATCGGTCTCTTGCCCCATTCCCAGAGACTTCAATCTCAGGCAGAGTATGGCTAAAGCCTTACCTGCCTGTCGTACTGCCCATTTGTTCCTCTCCCCTCTGGCTCCTCACTCCATCCCGGATATAGATCCAGCCACCTATTTCTGCCAATCTGCCTCACCTGGTGAGGTGGTAAAGTCGAGCTTGGGCATATTGGGACCTCCCTCTGTAGCGTGGTCATGCTGTTCCAGTCAGACCCATGGCTCATGGCTTATGAGCAGGGGGCCACCCCGAGTAAGTAGCCTCTAGTTCTTCACACAGCGGCATGGTGGGGAGCAGGGTTGGGACACTACAGGGGGGGCCAGGCCATGGCTCTGGCCTCGGCCCACCCCTCCCCACTTCTGTTGTTGTCACCTATAGGGCCTGACGCAAGATGACAGATGACGCGGCGGCAGTGGGGGGAGAAGGGGGCCTGACATGGGTTGGGGGAATAGCAGGTATGCCATGGCAGTGGGAGGAGGGGAGGAGTGGGCTGGGGCCTCATGCAGGGGGGGAAGAGGACTGAGCCCGAACCAGGGGAAAAGGCGGCCCACCACAGCAGGGGGAGCGGGCCCAGGCCAACCTGGTGGCAGTGGCAGCGGCAGCGGTGGAATGGGAGGAGCGGGCTCGGAGCCAACAGGTGGAGGAGGAGGGATAGGGGAGGAGTGGTCCCTGGCCAGAGGCGGGGGAAAGAGGCTTACTCCTCCCCTCCTCCTGCCACTGCCACATTGGCCTGGGCCCGCTGCTCCCTTACCACCGTGGTGGGTCGGCTTCTCCCCCGGCTTGGCTTGCGCCTCCTCCCCTCCTCAGGCCTGGGCCCACTCCTCTCCCTCCCCCCTCCCCCCCATTGGCTGCGAGCCCACTCCTCCCATTCCTTCACCACAGCCAGGTCAGCCCAGGCCTACTGCTCCCCCTGCCATGGCAGGCTGACTTCTCCCCACCCTCAGGCCCGGTCTTCCCCCACATTGGGCCTGAGCCCACTCCTCCCCACCCCCCAGTGCTGTGGCAAGGAGTGGGGGAGCGGGCCTGGACCCTAAGCGGCAGAAGGTAAAGGGGGAGCGGGCCCAGACAGGGTGGGGACACGGGGCTCTGTTCCCGCACACTCCCTCCCCCCCACCGTCATTCCTGACGGGCAATTGGCTAGTGAATAGATAAGAACAGATGTTTGCACTGATCATTGCTGTTGGTTGAGAAGTAAAGGTAAAAAATTCTTTGACCATCCTCTGAGAGGGATTTTCATTCAGCTTACTTAACTACCCATTTAAAACCCAAATGAGACAGTAATGAAGCTTAATTCTAAATATGTCACTTAAGCAACACCTTTGAGAGCACTAAGGAGCTGAAATTTGTTCCTTGTAGTAAATGAACAACTCAGGTTAAAGTACAAGCTGTGGATATGATTGTTGGCAAGGGTCAAAAAACAAAACCAAACCAAACAAAAAACCCAACAACATTTCTTGAAGTGGGGATAAATAGAAACATACAGTAAGCTTACAAGGAATGAACTTTCACTGACAGCAAAGATCATCTTTTTGATCTTTTGTTCCACACACATTTTCTCCATTGCGTTTTACTGGACAGGCCATGGATTGTTGGAAGGAAGTGAAAAGCAGCAGCTGGATTTATCCTACCTTGATGCTCTGCACATATGGATTTTTCTCTGCAATGAGGCCAGCAGAATCTTTTCTTACGCCTTACCTCACAGGGCCAGATAAAAATTTGACCATTGAAGAGGTATGTCTAGTTCTACTCATTGCCTAAGAAAAGTAAAGTATCAAATGCACTTCAAACTGTGCAAAAAAAAAAAAAAAGTTGCATCAGAAAAGCTCAATAATTTTTTAGCATTAGTAATTTTTTAGAATTGTAAAAATAGGGAGAGGAATTAAGTTGTACAATATGCAAAAAGTCTTAATGGTAGAATATATATCCATTTAAGTCAGCTGAAGTCTTTACCACTGATTTAAATGGCAATAGAAACAGGGAACTTTCCGTTTTGCTGGAAAACATTCTGTTCATTGGTACAGCCTGATCTTTGCTTATTGAGATTCCTATTAGAGCCAGAGCATCCCCTTTGCCTGATATGATGAAAAAGAACATTTCTGCCCTATGAATGTTTTCCAAGCAAAATATAAAAAAAGGGGAAAAAAAGGGGGAAAAAATGCTTCCTCCTTAGTACAATATCCATTAATTTTAGGTTACAGTTTGCCAGCATTATCATCAAATGCATTGCATTTTTAGGACTTTGAAACCATTTTGTTTGCAGTAAAGAGAAAACAATGTCAACAATTTCAGTGAAATCAGATCTCTGGTTCTTGTCTTACTATTAAGTTATTCTTTAAAAAAAGAAGCTTAGGAAGAACGAGAGGAAAGATTATTATGTACATTAAGATTGCTTCTAGTTGGGACAAATCTCAACATACCTTCGCTCTAAAAATGATTAGAAAAAACAGCCAGATTCCTCCTTTGTATGACTCATAGAAATTTTTAGTTACTGTAATATGATTCTTCTAATTACCAATTGGACCATTCAAGCCAAGTTCACAGAAATTCCCCACCATATATTGGCAGACTGGGTTCTTTGGGTAAGTGCGATATCTTTTACTCGGCCAGCTAAATAGTTGGAAAATTGTTCTTTGCAAGCTTTCAGGTACAAACACCCTTCTTCAGGCAGAGGGAGAGTCTACAGCTGTATTGTACTCTCCAGGATAGAATAGAAGCCAGTATGCAAGAATGCAGGTCAGTGAAAATACAAGTGTGGCAGTGAGGAATTGGAGGGGGTCAGAGACAGTAGGTGAGAGATAGGTGAGGGGCAGGGAAAAGGGGAAATGGAAGTCTGGTGATGAAATGTAGCTGGTAAATTGTAGAGAGGTTACCTGGGGTTATCAGATGTCAGGCAGGTTATAATGTGCCAATGTCTATAATGAATCCAATGTCTAGATTTAGTCTATGATTCTTTGTATCCAGTAGATTGATGATGTGAAGTTCATTGGCTCATTTGCAAAAGGTGTTTTGCAAATTCCCTTTGAGGATTAGAACAGAGAGATTGGAGAGAGGGTGGTTTTCTTGAGGGAAATGTGCCCCCACAGGTAACTGGATATTCTTGTCTTTGACACATTTCTGGTGTGCATTCATTCTGGTGTGCAGTTGTTTGGTTTCTCCTACATATTTTCCATCAGGGCATTTAGTGCACTGGATGAGATGTATAACATTTCTGGAGGTGCAGGTGTAGGATCCAGGCATGGTGCTGGTTCCATTGTGGAGTGTAGTTATTGTGGGAGTGGTGGAGATGTGTTGGCAGGTTTTACATTTCTTGTCCCAAGATAGTCTGGATCTATTCGGTGTGCTTTGGACCATAGGAAGTTTGCTTCTGGTGATGAGGTTAGCGAGGTTCAGTGCTTGTTTAAAGGGTACAGTGGGTTTTCTTCTGGAATTCTCTCTTTAAGAATTGGGTCTTCTATTATGGGTTGCAATTGTTTGAGGATTTTCCACATAGGTTCCAGGGAGTGATGTTATGTCATAACTAATGGTGTGCAATTCATGGGGATTTTCTTTTTGTACTGCAGCAATTCTTCACCTGGTATCTGGTTGTCTCTTTCAAAAGTGCTATCTATCTCTCTGTAAGAGTGTCCTTGTTGAGGAGTGAAAGCCCTTTTGAGAGATTTGTGAGGTGATAATCACAGGTGTTCCCTTCAGTACAAATTTGGAGGTATTGGAGGGCTTGGCTGCATATTACAGCTTTCTTGGTGTGTTTAGGGAGATTGCTGGTTCTGTGTAAATATGTCTGTTGGTCCCTGGATTTCTTTTTTATGGTGGTTTGTATTTTACCATTCTGGACAGTGACCATGGTGTTCTAAAAAGGAAATGTTGGTGCTGGAGTATTCAAGAGATAGTCTGGTGGAGGGGATTATTGAACTTCTGATGGAAATCAGTCAGAGATTGCAGGCTTTCAGTCCAAATGATGATGTCATCTATATAGCTTAAACATAGCATTGGTTTGATGGTGCAGTTCTTGAGGAATTCTTCTTTTAAGTGGCTCATAAAAAGGTTGGCATATTTTAGGGCCATTTTGGCACCCATACCTATGCCCATGATCTGGAAGAAGTGTTGGTTATTAAAACTGAAGTTGTTGTGTGTGAGGATGAAATGTATAAATTCAGTAATATCTTTAGGTCTGTACTCTTTGTAATCTTGCTCTTGTAGATATACAAGGCAGGCTTGGATGACATCCTGGTGTGGGATATTGTTATATAAACTGGTAACATCCATGGTGGCTAGAAGGGTGTTGCTGGGAAGGTGGTCTATGGTTTTAAGTTTCCATAGAACATCTGTTGCATCTTGGACAAAACTCGCTCTGGATCAGAGGTTTTAGGGTGGATTTGATGAAACCTGATATTTCCTCAGTTAGGGTTCCATACTTGGATATGATAGGTATGCCTGGATTCCCCTTATTTGAAGATTTTAGGGAGCATGTAAAAAGTTCCTGGGTTGGGTAGTGGAACTTTTTACATGCTCCCTTAAATTCTGTAGTTTTCCTTGTAGATGGAAATGATTTGATGGTAGTTTTGTGTTTTAAGGTGAAAAGACGTGTAGGATAGGGCTGTGCGAGGCTTTGGACAGAGCTTTGGATCTGGAGAAGCTTCAGACACTTCGGGATCTGAAGCAGCACATCCAGGTCGTAGTGCTGGCCTTGTTCGGCTACCCAAAGCAGTTTGGAGCTCTCGAAGAGCTTCGGAGCCGCCTCGGAGATCTGGCCATAGGGTATAATGGGGAACAATAAAATATCTATAACTTTCTTGGTTTTTGTCCGATTTGGATGAAATTTTCAGGGGTGGTAGACTCTGGAGGGAGAATGAAGCCTACCAAGCTTCAAGAAGACTGGTCTAGGGGTTTGGGGGGAACTGCACCCCAAATTCTTGAAAGAAAAGACTTGTCACGTCTAGGTGTTACAACATAGCGGGGTGAAAACTGCAGGGGTGGTGGCTCTTACTGAGACCACAAAGCCTGCCAAGTTTCAATAAGATCAGTGCAGGGGTTTGGGGGGGGAACTGCCCCTCAAGCTGCGGATAAGCAAAACTCGTGCCGTGGGTGCTTGTGGGACTGACTGTGTCCCGTCTTGGGGCGGGGAGGGGAGACACTGCTGCAGGCCTGGCTACTAAGCAACTGTGTTCCCAGTTACCAATCAATCATGATTCACTCAGGGACCAGCTCAATACACAGGACCTAGCTACTACATAACCACTTAACGAGCATCAATTAGCACCTACAAAACCGGACTAAGGAGAGGAAAGACTCAAGACAGACAATCAACTGCCGCAAGATGAGGCAGTCTTGGCACAAGTTTTGTCTGTCAGCAGCTAGGGGTGCAGGGCCCCAGAACCCCCCCCTGCACCGATCTCCTCCACAGCTGGCAGGCGTCATGGCCTCAGCAGGGGCCACCATCCCTGCAGCTGTCACCCCGCTGTGGCTTAGCACACACAGTATCATCCATGTCATGAGTTTTGCTTGTCTGCAGCTTGAGGGGCAGTTCCCCCCCCAAGCCCCTGCACCAATCTCCTTGAAACTTGGCAGGTTTTGTGGCCTCAGCAAGAACTACCCGTCCTGCAGTTTTGACCCCCCTGTGGTGTAACACACAGCCGTGACATGAGTTTGGCTTTCATGAATTTGGGGTACGGTTGCCCCCAAACCCCCACACTGATCTTCTTGAAACTTGGCAGGTTTTATGCTCTCAGCAGAGGCTACCACCTCTGCAAGTTTAATCCAAATCAGACACAAAACAAGAAAGTTATAGATATTTCATTGATTCCCCATTATGCCCTATGGCCAGATCTGGGAGGCGGCTCCAAAGCTTCGCAGCTGCTTTGGCCAAATCGAGGTGGAAACCTGGTCTGGAGCTCTGGATCAGGTTGCGGCCATCCAAAGTGGCCGGATCTGAAGCCGGATCAGATTGCTGCCGACTCACACAGGCCTAGTATAGGATCTTCCTCTAGTTTTTTGTAGTATGTGGTGTCAGAGAGTTGTTTGTTGGCTTCTTTTATGTAGTCATCACAGTTAAGGATAGATACTACAGCTCCTTTATCTGCTGGCTTTATTACTATTTGGCCATTAGATCTTAGAGAGCCTATGGCCCTTCTCTCTAAGAGGGAGAGGTTGTTGTAGTGGCATGTATTGTTGAGTATTTCATTGTTCATTCTTTCTGTGAAGCAGTCAATACAGTGACCAAGGTTTGAATTCCGTCCACTGTGAGGTGTCCAATCTGGCAGGTTTTTGGGGGGGTTGATCTTTTCCTCAATGATGTCAAAGGATGTATACCATAAACTGCAGTCTTACCATGGCTCTGTCCCTTCACTGACTACATTCTATTTCTGAAAGAAAAAAAAAAGTTAAAACTTTGTTGATGGAAAGTGCAACAATCACTATGCTAAATGATTAGAAATTAGGATTAAAAAAAATGTAAATATGAAACTGATAGCCCTGAATATAAAATTGAACCTGATGAGAACAGAAAGTCTGGATTTACAACAGTGTATATGAAAACAGAATCAGGCACCATAGCTCTGCCCTAAGTACTTACACATCAAGTTACCTCTCCTCTTCCCAGATGAAATGAACTGTTCTCTTAAACATAAACATAAATACTTTGATTATGAAGCCTTGATTCTGATCTCAGCAATTTAAATCAAAACCAAATATACTGAAAGCAAAAGAACTCCATAAGCTTTTATGGATGCCTGTTCTAGACCTCATTCTCTTCTTGTTTAGGTTCCAAACCTTTGAACAGAAAATCTGTAAGAGTTCAAAGAGACTACTGATGTTAGAGGGCACTCGGCAACTTTATATATTAGTCGAACATTTAAAATGAATTTTCAAAAATTGTTCACTATTGTTTGCACCATTTTTAATGGTGTCCCAAGAGTACAAGAACATTTAGCTTTGGTGAAGCAGTGAATACTTAACAGCTTTCTGAAAGCTGGACTAACTGAGGTAACAAAGAAGCCAACAGCAAATCAGCAGTCCAGCACAAAAGTGAAACTGAGATGAGTCAGTGGCACGTTGAGGGTTAATACACTCTCTAACATGCTCTGCTCAGACCCACTGCTAGAGGGCTGGCAAGCAGGGGTGTGACTAGGGGCTGCAAGTCTGCTTCATTTCTGTCCCATTTGCCAGCTCTCTGGCTGCAGTATAGGTGAGAGGGATGGGAGGAAGGCCCCCTAAGCAGCAGTGCTTGGATCACTGCCCTGCCCCTGCCCCCAGCCAGCAGCATGGGCTTCAAGGAAGCTTAGGAGCAGGCAGGGTGGGGGGACACTTCCTCCCCCCTTCCACCTCCACTGCTATGCTCTCTGGCTGACTAGGGTTACAGGGAAGTAATTTAAAGCTGCAGCAGCAGACCAGGCTATGATTTGGAGGACATGGGATGATCAAGAGGTAGAGGAGGTAATCGGAGTATCAGAGCAGGGATTCAGGCAGCAGAGAGGGTCCAGGAGTTGGGGGGCAATTGATGGAGCAGAGGGGTCAGTAGCCCCCCACTCTCCCCATTCCTCCCTCCCTGCTCACTTGCTGCCCAGCTGAGCCCAGCTGTCAGTCAAGGGCTGTAGAGTCCTGGATCATAGCTAGCCCACCCGGGAGCTGTATTGCCTGGGATACTGGAGGACCACAAATTAATGTTTTTTCTCCCAGGTGAATAGCCAGAAGTTAATGCAACTCAAGCTCAAAGATAATCAAAGATAATCCTTGCCCAAAAGGATTTAAGACACCTAGATGGTACTTAGTATTTGTTAATAAGCCTTAATACGCAAGCATTCAAGTTTTAAGAGATCTTAACATGGTCTTACTGTAATGTGTAATCTCACTCTAAGACTAGTTCTGAATAAGGGGAAAAACAGTTAAATAGATTGTTCAATCCTGACAGTTCAGCATGTGTGAAAGTGAAGTATGGCAGCACTTCCACTCAGTTTAGGTTTTTGAAAATGGGCTGCATCATCTCCCTATTTTTTCACAGGGCTAACTTTTGGGTGTTAAAAAGTTGCACACATATCTTACGTTTAGCATGGTATGTGTTAGGGCATACCTTAATTCTAAACTACATAACAAAAATAATTATTTGGTTGGATAAACTTTGACCTGAGTTTCCAGAAAATAAGAGATCCTGAGAGTAACTTTATGGGCAGTAGTTTAAAACTAATGTTTTTGTAACCAGTCTAAAGAGTATAGTCAATGTTTACATATTAAAGTGCTGTCAAAAATCAGTGTACTAAAGTTATGGTCCTACTAGGACTTGCAGTTACTCTTGTGCATGCATCTTGAAGGTGAACTGTACAGGATTCTTTCAGCATCAGATTTACCGCACGAATTGCCATTGTCCTAGTCTGGTAATTTTATTAGGACTGTCTTCTAGAAATGTAATTTCCTTTCCTTTTTTTTTCATTTGGTGTAAGGAAATTCTAAATATTTACAAGTTACTAAGTTGTAGGTGTTACACATTTTTTTCCATAGCAGGTAATGCATTTTGAGTTTTGTGTTGCAAACTCTTTGTAATGTCATATCTGGAGCACTCCCGCTAATTCAGGGAGCACAATCTACATTTATCTAGTTTTATTACCAAAAGAAGTCACAGGATCCCTTCCTTCCCCTTCTAGGTGACAAATCATGTTTTCCCAGTTTGGACATACTCCTACCTAGTGCTGCTGGTTCCAGTTTTCCTGATCACAGACTACATGCGCTATAAGCCCATCATTATTCTCCAAGGAGCTGGCTCTCTCATTACTTGGCTGATGCTAGTTTTTGCACAAGGAGTGCTAGCCATGCAGCTGATGGAAGTTTTCTATGGCATGTTCACAGCCACAGAAATAGCTTATTATGCCTACATTTATAGCACAGTCAGTGCTGACCACTATCAAAAAGCGACAAGCTACTGCAGAAGCATAACGTTAGTTGCATCCGCAGTTGGGGCAGTGCTGGGACAACTGTTGGTGTCCTTGGCAGGCTTATCCTATTTTTATCTAAGCACTATAAGCTTGGCTTCTGTCTCCCTGGCATTTTTTACCTCACTTTTGTTACCGATGCCCCAAAAAAGCATGTTCTTTCATAGAAAAGGGCTCTCAGACACTGTCTCAGAAAGAGCGGACAGAGAGAGAACACCAAATGCATCCAGCACTAACAAGCACACTGGTCACCAAGAGGACAAAGACTCTGCAAACCCCAGCACCTCACCTGAATGCCATCCTAACACTACTAAGCCACAGAATCATGTGCTGAAAGTGCTGGTGCAGCTGTTCAAGGACATGAAGGAGTGCTACAGCACAAAGAGGCTTCTTTACTGGTCTCTCTGGTGGGCGTTAGCCACTGCAGGCTTCTATCAGATCCTGAATTATGTCCAGGTGTTATGGGACCACAGGGCACCTTCCCAGAGCTCTGCAGTATACAATGGGGCTGTGGAAGCAATAGCAACTTTCCTGAGTAAGTAAACAATACGGTTGTATAGATTCCCCTTTCCAAAACAGCTTATAAAATATATCACCTGCATCTTACATGGATTAATTTTCTATTGCTACCTATGAGGCTATTTCAAAAGAATTCTCCAAGGTTGTTAAGGCAATAGTACCAGTAGCATCAAATATAACATGATTATTGTACCCATCCATAGCATGGAGAGCACGTTTGCTTTTGTGGATAGTTAATCAAACTCATACAGCCCCACAGGCCAGATGTGTGATCTAGGGCTAGTCCATGCACTGGATTGGGCCAACAGTGCAACAGACCCTAGATTCCCACCCCTCCATGCCAGGTCCAGCACCAAAAGGACCTTCTTCAGCAGCTCCAATACAGGCAGACAATTCCAACTTAAATCAATGCACCAGAAAAAGCTTAGAGAACAAAACATTCAAAACACTTTGATTTCCTTTCCAGTGCTAAGTACAAGCAATCAAAAAGCCCCAGGCTGAATTGATTCAATCTTTGCAGGTTTCTCTAAACTGTGTAGTTGAACCAATAAGCAAGCAAACAGACATTCCCTTTTGAAACTGAAAAGGCAGCCAGGTCCCTGCAGTGACCCATATCTGTAGCTGGGGCCATTAGAGCACACCTCCCAGCCTTCAAGCCACTGCCAAAGTCACCCAAATGCAGCCAAGCAGGGCTTATCCTTGGACTGGCTGTCCAACACATTCCCCACAAACCCTTGCAGTCCCCCACCTCCTCCATGGCGGAACAGTCCCTCTAGCCTGGGCTGTCTGGGTCCCCCAGTTTCAGAGACGGTTCCCTGTCTCTGGCAGGATCCCACCAGCCCTAGCCTTGGTGCAAAGAAGAGATTCCTCCCCACTTGCTACTAGAATTAATATTAGAATTTAGGATGGGGGGAAAGAAAATGCACCCCTCCATCAGACCCCCCAGCCAGTTGCTGCCCTAGGTAGGTGGGGGGAGCCCAAAGCAGGGGCCTTACTCCCTGCTCCTGCCTGGAGTGATTCGCCTAGCCATGGCCCCCACTTTCAGCTTGGCTGGAGGAAGGGGAGGAAGCTTCCACCAAGCAGACCCTGGCTGGGGTCTGGTTCCAGGCTGGGGATGGGGGGGATTCCCCACCCCTCCACTCAGCTGACCCAGCCAGGCTGGGGCCAGGAGCTTCCTTTGGCCACATCCCCCACTCCCAGCTTGGGTGGGGGAAGCTTCTGCAGGCTTTCCCCTCCTCTCCTCCCACCAGGTAGACCCAGGCTGGGGTCCAGTGCTGGGGTTTTACCCCCAACCCCTTCTCTGCCAGCTGGAACAATGATAGTGTTCCAGTTAGGGAGCAGCAGTGTGGGGCAGACCCTGCTCCACTGGAGCAGATAAAGCCCAGGGTTGCAAAGCATCCTGGGATGCTGGGGGACTGTGAGTTAACTTGAACCAGGAAAGGAAAGGTACAGAAGTTCCATAAACCAATCTGACCTAAGTCAGTTAAGTCTGATACTACATCTAACCAGATTTATCTTTAACCAGTTTCAGCCATTTTGAAAGCAGTTTAAGTGCACTGAACTTCTGTTCTGTTGCAGGTTTAAATAAGTTTCTGATCACTTTAACAAGTTTATGTTTAACTTCTGTTCCTAGCACAGGTGGTGTCCTCTCTAGTCCTCAAACATAAAAGTTACAGAAAGATGTGCTCTTCATTACTGCTCACATTTCTACTACTTTGACCATAGGTTTCTAAGTCCCTTTTAAGCCTCTGGTTCCCAGATTCTAGGCTACTATTTGAAACTACTTCACATAAAAATCAATAGCAAAAGTAGAACTCCTAGGAACTTTCATGGATCCTTGGCCTTCTGTTATACCACTTACATAACATAAAAAGGATACCACAAGCTGGTCTCACACACAAAACACCAAGGGTTCATTGGTGACAATCTATAAGAACACTGTCCACTGGAAGTATTAAAAAATTGGGCTGTATCCAATTTTCCTTGAAACAACATTTTCTTTTGACATAAAGAAAAAACAAGAACATGCTCTTTTTTCTTTCTGAGTTTAATTCCAGAAGCATTTCTAGGGGTTTCAAAGTTTGAGTGACCACAGGTGGGACAGTTTTCCTGCCATCTGGCTGGGATTAGGACTAGAGTATCACAGAAAGCACTGATCGACTGTATCTGAGCTATAGCTCTCCTCAATTCATATTTAAGTGAACTTTTTAGGATCATAGGATAGTAAGTCTGGAAGGGACTTCACTAAGCCTAGTTCAGGCCCCTGCTCAAGGTAGGATCATCCCCAACTAAAACATTCCAGCAAAATATCCATCTAACCTACTCTTGAAAATATCCAGGGATGTAAATACCACCACATCTCTAAGCAGTCTGTTCCAATGACTGACCACCCTCATAGTCAAAAAGTTCCTCCTAATCTCCAACCTAAAGTTTCCTCTGCTGTAGCTCAAGTCCACTGCTTAGTCCTATCCCCTACAGCTACAGAGAAAAAGCTGATTTCCAGCCTCTCTAATGGCCCTTCATGTATTTAAAGGCTGTTAACAAATCCCCCCTCAGCCTTATCTTTTCCAAACTAAATAACTTCAGCTCTTTAGCCTGTCCTCATAAGTCATGCCCCCACCCCTGCCAAGAGCTCTAATAATTTTTGTTACTCAGAACTGGACTCTTTCTAAACTGTCCACATTTTTCTTGCAGTGTGGGGCCCAAAACTGGACTTCAGGTAAGACCTCATCAGTGCTGAATGAAGTGAAAGAATCACTTCCATTGATTTCCCAGTGACACTCCTATTGACACACCTTTGCATACTGTTGGGCTTTTTTTTTTTTCTTTTTTTTTTGCAGACAAGCACACTGTTGGCTCATAGTCAGCTTATGGTCTACTGCAGGAGTGGCCAACCTGTGCCACACATGCTACAAGTGCTATGGACAACCCCTCTGCATGGAATATGGCAGATCAGGAAGTAAAAAGCAGAGCAGCAGATTGCGCAGGAGAAAGGGATCAGAGTGGTACTCAGGGAGGGTACAGACCTAATTTGTGGCACAACTGCCAGAAAGTTTGGTCCTTTGTTCTACTGCAATGCCCAGGTCTTTCTTTGAAAAATTTGTGGCAATTGGGAGAGGTCCTGGGTGATTGGAAAAGGGCAAATACAGTGCCCATCTTTACAAAATGGAAGAAAGAGGATTTGGGGAACTACAGATTGGTCAGCCTCACCTCAGTCCCTGGAAAAATTATGGAGCAGGTCCTCAAGGAACCCATTTCTAAGCACTTGGAGGAGGAGAAGGTGATTAGGAACAGTCAGCATGGATTCACTAAGGACAAGTCATGCCTGACTGACCTGATTGTCTTCTATGATAAGATGACTGGCTCTGTGGATGCAGGGAGAGTAGTGCATGTGACATATCTTAACACAAGCAAGGCTTTTGATACAGTTTCCCACAACATTCTTGCAAGCAAGCTAAGGAAGTATGGGTTGGTTGAATGGACTGCAAGGTGGATAGAAAACTGGCTGGATCGTCAGGCTCAGAGGGTCGTAATCAATGGCTGTCTGTAGTTGGCAGCCAGTATCAAATGAAGTCCCCTAGGGGTTGGTCCTAGTGCTTATTTTATTCAATACCTTCATCAATGACCTGGAAAATGGCACTGAGTGTGCCCTCAGCAAGTCTGTGGATGACATCAAGTGGGGGAAGTAGTAGATGTGTTGGTGGTAAGACTGGGATTCAGAGAGGCCTCAACAAATTGGAGGATTGGACCAAAAGAAATCTCGTGAGGTACAATAAGGACAAGTGTAAAATCCTGTACTTAGGACAGAATAATTCCATGTACGAGCACAGGATGGGGACTGACTGGTTAAGCATCAGCTCTGCAGAGAAGGACCTGGAGGTTACAGTGTACAATAAGCTGACTATGAGTCAGCAATGTGCCCTTGTTGCAAAGAAGGCTAACAGCGTACTGGGCTGCATTAGTAGGAACATTGCCAGCAGATCCAGGGAAGTGATTATTCTGCTGTATTCTGCACTGGTGAGGCCACATGCGGAGTCCGGTGGAGGGCAATGAAAACAGTTAGGGCACTGGAGCACATGACTTATGAAGAGAGGTTGAGGAAACCAGGCTTATTTAGTTTGGAGAAGAGAAGACAGAAGAGGGATTTAATTGCAGTCTTCAGCTACCTGAAGGATGATTCCAAAAAGGATGGAGCTAGGCTGTTCTCACTGGTGGCAGATGGCAGAACAAAGAGCAATAGCCTTGAGTTGCAGCAGGCAAAGTTTATGTTATATATTAGGAAAAAACAACTCTCACTGGGAGAGTAGAAAAGCACCAGAACAGGTTACGCAGAAAGGTGGTAGAATCTCCATCCTTAGAGGGTTTTAAGATCTGGGTAGACAAAGCCTTGGCTGGGATGATCTAGTTGGGGATGGTCCTGGTCCGGGCGGGGGGTTGGACTAAATGACTTCCTGATGGCCCTTCCAACCCTAAATCTTGTATAATGCTGCGATTCTTTTTTGTACTGCAGCCTAGCCAGTCATTCCCCAATCTCAAGTGTCAGGAGCTGAATATAAGGATGAAAAAGACAGGACAAGCTGAAAAGAGTCTCAAATGCATTCTAAATGTTGTTCTTGCCTGCAACCCTAGAGAGGTGTTTAATAACCAAAGGTGCACACTCAGGATATAGTACATCTCCATTTTTTTATGGGTTAGGAATAGCAGTAACAAAGAGAAGAGACCATCTGCAGCCTAGTCTTAAGCATCAATATGTGAAGGGAAGTCCTCTTGAAATTAGGATTAAATATTGATACAATCCATGATTTAGGTCAGCTAATTTGAGTTATTTTAAGTAGATGTGAGCAATTGGCAGTTACATCTAGCAAATTAACTAATTTTGTGCAACCTGAATTTGCTAGTCACACGTGGAATAGTAATGTTAGTATTTTAATATTAGCTTAAAAAATATACAGAATATTACTGTTGTTTAAAGGACGGAATCAGTTGATTAAGGTTACCAGTTAGCTACGAGGCAAATTTGCCCTTTTTTCAGTTTGTTTTATTTAAATGCCTAGGAGGTGGTTTAGACAACCCAAGCTGACTTTATTAACATAGAATTTGTGACAACTTGATTGAAGTCTTAGCATAAGCATGAATCACAGAAATACATAAAAGGTATTACTAATAAGTTTAAAACTATTGCATGCATTTATACAATTGTATAGCTTAATTTGAAAGCAATGTGAACACCATTGCTTGTCATGCTCTATACTTTCCCTCTGCTCTAGGCTCAGCAACATCCATGGCAGTTGGATACATGAGAATAAACTGGAATCTTTCAGGAGAACTGGCCTTGGGGATCTTCTCTGCAGTGAATGCAGGTGCCCTGTTTCTCATGCATCTTACTGCCAACATTTGGGCATGCTATGCCGGCTACTTGGTTTTCAAGGCGTGTTATATGTTCCTCATAACAATAGCAACGTAAGTAAAACCATTACAGTACTGGGTTTAATTAAATCACTTACTTGCTTGAAATTTAAGTTACTGTATTTTAAAATGTAATTCAAAGCACTTAAGTTCCACTTGAAGTTTCTCAAACTAAAGAACTGCTACTGTATTTTTTTTCAGCAAGTCATAAACTGGTGCGGTGCAGTAAGTTATTCTCTCCACTTACTCTCCAGTTCCTACCAGAATACTGAGTTATTTTTCTCCAGCAAGTGCCATGTACATGATGGCTCCACGCTTGACATAAGTGTGCGCACACAAGCTTGTCTGACCATTCTGGAGTGTTGCAGAATTTACTTCTAGAGATTAATGTCACAACTTTGCATCTAAGTCTAGTAGGGGTTTGAAGTTTAAACAAGTCCATTCTTTATTAAAGGGTTCTTCTGGGAGAAGGGAAAGGTGGGGGTAGGGATTTCAAAGTGGTTTGGCCCTTAGATGAAAAATGCAATAAAATACACAGCTTAGATAACGGTTTAAAATTGTGAATGAAGAGCCTAACTAGCAGTTTCATGAACTGTCATGACTATTAAACACTTTTTAGAAAGATAAAAAAATTCTCTCTAACCAATCCTGTTTGCTAAGAAGAAAATATTTATGTTATCTTAATTCCCTTTCTTTTTTAAGAAATCAGAAAAAAATCAACAAAAAGTCAGTTAAAATGAAGAATTTAAGGAGACCAGCAAGGCAAATTTTATGAATTCTTATGCAATTCCATTGTGCATATGAATCACTTAGATCTCCATTTCTTGTGAGGAGAGGTGGGGTAGAGGAGAGGGGGGAGGCCTGGCAGGAAGTGCCCCCTGCAGTTAAATTAATTCACCAATTCAATTTAAGATTTCAGATTGCTGTTAACCTCAGCATGGAACGTTATGCTTTGATGTTTGGATTCAACACCTTTCTCGCACTGGCAATTCAGACAATTTTAACGCTTGTTGTAGTTGATTCAAGAGGCCTGGGATTGGATATAGTCACTCAGGTAAGTTATATTATCTGCAAAGCAAATTATTTGTTAGTAAAGCAAGTTAATTGTTTCTTAAATTAAAATCATCCCAAAGTCCTATTTTGAGTTTAGTTTTCAGGAAGACATTAAAAATTATGGACTAGAACAAAAAGCAAAACAAAAGAGCTCTGTTTAAGTTATATTTCAGAAGCATTAGAGTACTGACTATGACCAACCTGCAAAATCATAAGACGGTAGTAGGCATTTCTTTCTTTTCGGGTTTTTGTTTTTTTTTTTGAGAAAAGGAAAAAAAAAATTCAGAGGCGTCCTGTCTTTTCCCTGCTGCTCAAAGAAAACTAACATTTCAACTAACTATTCACAAAGCGCTTTAGAAAATGCACTGACTAAATAAGAGAAGGAAGCCAGCAACAGAACACAAACATTTTTGGAGGCTTCTGAGGTACTTTCAGTAATACTAGTAGTAACAGCAATAAGCTAGGACAGCCCCCGAAGAAACTTTCTGTCTTAAAATGACATGTAATCAGAAGGTGAGATTTGTTTCCTTGGACTGGATTTAGCAAGAAAAAAAAAAAAGCTTTACAATTTTTATATAAATTAAGGAGGTTCATCAAGGCGAGATTAAGATGTGTACTTTCTAGAAAGGGCACCTCTGTTCAGACTACTGTTTTTCCAGACACCCTACTGTAGATAAGCTACACATTGACAAATGTAATAGAAAAGATCTATAGATAATAGAAATGAATAACAAGCATTTTCCAGGTGGGTATTGAATATTTCCAAGGACACTCCAGAGATAGAGCTTAATATGGAAAACAAAAGCACATCTTATTTCCAGCCTTGAGTTTGTTCTCATGTGAACAAGAATATTCTCTCAATTTTCAGAGCAGTTCACAAAGCCACCCTGAACATGAATCTCACTTTTTCTAACCAAGAGAGCTCCAAGTATCTCAGCTGTGAACAAGGAGGGTGAAAGATAGGCACAGTTTGTCACCTTGCCCAAGAAGAGAAAACCTATTCGGTCTTCCCCATCTCCTGTAGATACGCTGCTAAAACAGCAAGCAGTTCTCTTTTCCCCAATGGAGGAAAGAGAGAACAAATAGCCAGCAGATGACATCCATTTTTACAGGACAGATAGATAACAAGGGAGTTGGGAGTCCGAGAAGAGTGGTTGTTCCTTAAGGAGACGATCCTCCAAGCCCAAAGGGTGACAGTCCCAACACAGATCAAAGGGGACAAGAGTGCTCAAAAGCCCCCATGGCTCACTAAAGGAATCCAGGAATGTCTCAAAGCTAAAAAAGGAGGCGTACACCCAATGGAAGGGAGGGGCCATCACCAAGGAGGATTATTCCTCCATTGCTCGAGATCGTAGGGGGACTGTAAGGAAGGCTAAGGCAGAGACGGAAGTGGGACTAGTGACCTGGATCAAAGATAACAAGAAGTCCTTTTTTAAATACATAGGGAGTAAAAAAGAAGGTACCAAGTAATGTGGGGCCTCTGCAGGATGTGCTTGGAAATCTGGTAGTCACGCCAGACAACAAAGCTATCCTCTTTAACAAATTCTTTGCCTCCATTTTTCTGAGCAGGGACCAGGACATCTCCCCCGCCCCCCACTGGGATCCCCAACGGACCTAGGGGAGGCGCAACCAGGCCCAGGGTCAGTGAGGACCCAGTCAGGGAACATCTGGTGGGACCTGACTTGTTCAAATCAGCAGGTCCTGATGATCTCTACCCCAGAGTGCTGAGGGAATTGGCAAAGGTCATTGTGGGACCCCTGGCACAGCTTTACGAGCACTTGTGGTGCTCTGGCAAGGTGCCAGAGGACTGGAAAAGGCCCAATGTGGTCCCCATTGTCAAAAAAGGGAGGAAGAAGGACCCAGGAAACTATAGGCCTGTTAGTCTTACCTTGCGCCTGGGAAAGCTCTTTGAGAAAATTATCCAGGAGCACATCTGCGAGGGACCAGTAGGGGAGATTATGCTTAGGGGCAACCAACATGGGTTCATTAGTGGCAGGTCCTGTCAGACCAACCTGGTGGCCTTCTATGACCAGGTCACAAAATCCTTGGATGCAGGTGTCATGATGGACGTGGTCTTTCTGGACTTCAGGAAGGCCTTCGACACTGTCTGTCACCCCATTCTCATTAAAAAATTAGGTGACCTTGGTGTCGATGCCTACAGTCAGATGGGTCGCAAATTGGCTGTAGGGCTGCACCCAGAGAGTGGTGGTGGACGGGTTATTTTTGACCTGGAGGGACATGGGCAGTGGGGTTCCGCAGGGCTCGGTCCTCGGGCCTGCACTATTCAACATCTTCATCAGCAACTTGGACGAGGGGGTTAAAAGCACCTTGTTCAAATTCACGGATGACACTAAGATGTGGGGAGAAGTGGGCATGCTAGTAGGGAGGGACAGGCTACAACTAGATCTGGACAGGTTACAGGGGTGGGCGGATGAGAATAGCATGGGTTTCAATACTGACAAGTTTAAGGTGCTGCACCTGGGGAGGAAGAACCAGCAGCATACCTACAGGCTGGGGAACTCCCTTTTCGTCACCACAGAGGCAGAAAAGGATCTTGGAGTCATTATTTATTCGAAGATGAACATGGGCTGCCAATATGAGAACACAGTCAGGAAGGCTAACCACACCTTGTCATGCATCTACAGATGCATCACGAGTGGGTTCAAGGAGGTGATCCTCCCCCTCTATGAGACACTAGTCAGGCCGCAGTTGGAGTACTGTGTCCAGTTCTGGGTGCTGCACTTCAGGAGAGATGTGGACTGCATTAAGAGGGTGCAGAGGAGGGCCACTCACATGATCAGGGGGCAGCAGGGCAGCCCCTACAAGGGGAGGCTGCGGGACCTGAACTTGCTCAGCCTCCACAAGAGAAGGCTGAAAGGGAATCTGGGGGCCATCTATAAACGGGCCAAGGGGGACCAGCAGGCAATGGGAGAGTCCCTGTTCCCCTGAGCACCACCGGGAGTAACAAGATATAACGGCCATAAGTTGACTGAGAGTAGGTTCAGGCTAGATATCAGGAGGCACTACTTCACAGTCAGGGTGGCTAGGATCTGGAACCAACTTCCAAGAGAAGTGGTGCTTGCTTCTACCCTGGGGGTCTTCAAAAGGAGGCTAGACAATCACCTAGCCAGGGTCAGCCACCTAGCTGGAGTCATTTGACCCCAGTACTCTTTCCTGCCCATGGCAGGGGGTTAGACTTCATGATCTGCTCAGGTTCCTTCCCACCCTACCAACTATGAAACAACCCGAGAGCTCAGGGTAATTTCACTCCCCTCCTTCTCATGTGAAAGGAGATAAACAGGCAGGAGAATTCTTGAACTGTCCCCACCCTAGAATGGGACAGCAGCAAACCCTTCTTCAGTTGCCCACCTTCCAAGGCCTAGGAAAGTGAAGTGAAGTGAAGAACAAGTGTTATTAATTCTTTCAATTTTCCCCCCAGTTCCTAGTGTATGGCTGCTATTTTGCAGCCATTGCTGGAATTTTCTTAATGAGAAGTATTTATATACTTGGCTCTACCAAATGCAGAAGAGAGAAACAGAGCTTTCCTAAAGAACATCTCACCTCAGGGAACAAGGATCAGAAGAACTCAATTACAACTGGCAGTGCAACGTGGCTGTAATTGCAAGTACCTTGACTACGCCAGATATATGAGCTCTATAGTGCTTGCTATTTATACTCTTGATCAGGGGTTGGCAACATATAGCCTACGGGCCAGATCAGCTTTCAGCTGTGCCCATGCTGCTGCTGCTGCTTTTCTCTGCTCTCCCAGATTCTGTACAATGCAGGCTGGGTCATTTCAAGAGGCACATGAGCAGCTGGGGGCTTTACCTGCACCCACACCAGAGCCAGATACCTGGGAGCTGCACCCACACTGCTGCCGCTTCTCTCAGCTCCGCACGCCGTGGCTGAAGTGTGAACACAGCTTCCAGCTGATGGGGAGATGCACTGGGATGAGGTATCTGCAAACTGCACCCATGCCACTTCTTCCCTCTGTCCCTCTCCACAACAGCTGTGGCAAATATGGTGGTGGGGAGCTGTACTGGGGCCAGGCAGCTTTCAGGTGCCTGCACCACATCTGGGTGGAGAGGCAGTTAGGGGGTGAGAAGAAAGGAAGCAGCAGCAGCAGCATTGATAGTTTGCAGATATCTGGTCCTGGTATACCTCCACATTGATTGGAAGCTGTGCTCACAGTGCAGCTGGGGAGCTGGAAGAAGCAGTGGCGATATTGGCACAGCTCCCAGGTACCTGGTCCCAGTGAGTTCAGGGAAAGCCCCGGTTGCTGATGTGATACTGAAGCTACCCATCCTGCACTGGAGTAGGCTGGGGTTGTTCCAGCCCACAGCTTGTAAAGGTTGCTCTAGTTGCAAGTGGAGATCTACTTCCTTTTTGGTAGATGTAAATCCCCATCCCCACCCCTAAAACTTTCATTTCAACTTTATGCAAGAAGACAACCCTGCTACCTTAGTAGTCTTACCTTAAAGGTAATAGCATAGCACAATGGCCCCAAACCAGAAAAGGAAGCAGGTATTCAGTCCTCATAACCTTCATGGCCATGTCCAGACAAATGCAGCCGTGTATGTAGCACCACATATGGCACATTCAGGCATTTCCCACACTGCTACCTTGCAGCCCAGGGGTTGGTGGGGGGTGGACCCCTGGAGATCCAGGGGCCAAAAAACCCCATGCAGATCAAAAAGCAGGGTGGCACACACAGGGACAGCGCATGCCACCCAAACCAGAGCCTGCCAGGTGCCAAGCTGCAGAAGCGACACAGCTGCAGCTTCCCCGGCCCCCAGGACACTAAGTAAGGCTACTGGGCACCAACCCTACCTCATCCATGGTAACTTGCCATGCATCAAAAGGTACACGGCACAGGTGTTCCTGGGAAAAACTAGCAGCAGCATAGTGTCCCAGTGCTAGCTGTCCCCAGGGAACCAAACGTCTGCAGTTTTCTGCATGTAGCCCATGGGGCTAAATTTATTTCAGATTTTGATACTGCCTTCAGTGATTGGAGCATTCCCAAGTAAAGTATACAATACAACTGGTTTTGTGTCACATGATATTTTCTCCTCGAGGAGTGTGTGCATGGCCAGATGGGGAGGAGGACAGTTAAGGGGAAAGAGAGGGAAAAATTAAAACAGGGATAGGCAATTATTTCAGCTGGTGGGCCACTTAACAAGTTTTGTTGAGCTGTCAAGGGCCACACACACACAAAATCTTTCAGAAGATATCATTTTAACAAATCAAATGTCTACTATATCATATTTTAATTTTATTTAAAAAAATAATTTTTGTCCTGATGTTATCCATTTTTCAGTAGTGTATATAAAGATGATTGCATTATAGCTCAAAATAAAGTCTTATCCTTGTATATTGTGTATGGGAAGTGCATGCATGTGTGGAGGGGCTGCCTGCATGCTAGATCCCAGGAGCTGGCCAGGGGAGAGGGGAGGGATGGGGACCAGGGGGTGCATGCAGCAGAGTTTGTCCAGGCAGTGCAGGGCAGGTACAGTCCAGCTCATGGCTGCTCCTGGAGAACTCTGCATGGTGTTGAGCCCTGCCTGCTCCTACCTGGGGCAGCCCACACCATGCTCCCACCTGCACCCACTCCTGGCCCTGGCCAGGGCATACAGCTTCCCAGGAGGGTTGTTCCTGGTGCAGCTGCAGCCACCTGTGTACTGCTTGGCTTCCCACTGCCTCCAGCAGCTCCTCCTCCTCCTGCCTCTACTGTGCTGCTCCAGTGGGCAGGTAGCACAGGAAAGTGGTGGCAGCCACGGGGATGTGTACTGGGTACCACATGCCCAGCAGGTGATGGGGACGGGGTGGGGAGGGAGGCTGCAGCCAGGCAGCTTCTGCCTCAGCACACGGGGCTCTGGCTCCAGGCTACTTTCCACGTGCCTGGTGCAATGACCAGCCACCAGTGGGTGGCTGAGTGGGTGGAAGGGGCCAGGAGCTGGAGCTGGAGCCCTATGCACTCAGACAGGAGCCACTTGGCTGTATGCCCTGTTGGGCATGTGGGGTCTGGCTGTGGCCAGGCAGGAGCACAGCATAGGCTGCCTGGGGCTGAGGTGAGCAGGGCTCAGCCCCAAGCAGAGCACTGAGGGGACAGTCACAGACCAGATATAATCAATTGGCAGGTTCCTTAATGTTTATAATACTAACTATAAACAAGTAATAGCAATGTTACAGAAAGGCTAGTTATACTTGCATTTAACCATTCTCAATTGGTCCTTTTCATTTAATATTGATACAGCACAGTGTGACGATATTGCTATTTCAAGGTCTCTTGTGCCCCTCACAAAAGTTATGGTCAGGGAAGTGAAGAGATAATTTAGATTCTACAAAAGCAACCAGTTGGTATTTACCTTAAAACTGAACAATCGCATAATTTTAAGGAAAATTGCCATCCTATGAATAATGAAGGAGCTGCTCTTCCCATTTGAAGGTTTATCTTTTACATTAAAGTGTTCATTTAATTTAGTTAGGACAGGGGTGCTCAACCTCTGGCCTCTCTATCAAATGTAGCCCACAGCCTTTGGATCTGGCCTGCAGGGCTCCCTATAGGTAGGAAGTTTGGTGGCAGGGAACCAGTGGCAGTTAATACTGCCACCCCTCCCCACTGCCAAAACCCCAAGTCCCAAGCAGAGGGTTGGATCTGGGCCATGCCCCTTCCCCCTGCACAGCTGGTTTGGACCTGGCGTACTCCCCTTTCTCCCTTCCACAGGGCCAAACTACCCCCCGCCTTTGCTTCACCAGCTAGTTTGGGGCTGGGCCACACCCCTTTCCTCGAAGGCCAGGCTATAGCCCTCCAACTGCACAGTTGGTTCAGGCCAGGCCATGCCCCCTTCTCGCATGGGGTTGGGTATGTCCCCTTCCTCTTTGCAGCTGGATCCAGGATGGTCTGCTCTCTGGCCCCCTTTGCACAGTGGGATGGGGCCCTGCCATACCTGCCTTGGGCATTGGATTGAGTCCATTGGCCAGATCAAACCTGCAGAGGGACCAGGTACTGCACATTCAGTCCGCTGGACAAAGATGTTGAGCACAACTGAGTTAGATTGTTAAGCATGCAACAGCTAAACCAAACCTGGTTGTGAAAAGCAAAATCTACATAAGAAGTTATTTGTTTCTATAGAGGGTAAAATTTAAATTTGTGTACAGTGTTCAACTTAATTAAATCTTTTTTAGCAAAAGAAAACACTAGTAGGTTCATCCTGGACCAATGGCACAGGCATGACCTATCAGGTAGCGGTGGCATTGTGACACTTCTAACAACCTGCCCTGCCACCATTGACCAATTAGTGGAGGGGTTTTAGAGGCATTGGACTTCCCTGAAAATGATGGCAAACCAACCAGAGTGAGTAGAGGTGTGGTGTCTAGGCTGCAAGCCTCTGGTCTATCAGTTTTCCAAAGTGGACCTTGTTTTTTTGAGACTATGCTAAGGCAGACAGGAGAAAATATAAGCAAGATTTGGATGTCTAAGACTGATTCCCAGACTCCGAAAACAGGCCTGGGGACCACGACAGATCCCCAACAGCCCATATCAGAACCGCCAGCAGAGAGCATAGAGGTGTTGGACAACCCTGGCCCAAGGGGCTGTGCTGGGGTAAATAATTTAATATTTTTTGTGGGGGTGACGTTTTGCAGGTAGGTGATGCCTTTATAGAGAGCTTTCAAAACCTACGCATTGGTGGACCTGTGAGAATAAAGGTCTCTTGCGTGAACTGGTTTTGTTCATGTCAAAAGAGTGTTCAAGACAAAAGACTATTTTAGCAGTTTTGTCCAAAGACAATGGCAACCAACCAAGGCATTAAGCCCATGAAGGTCACTGAGCAGGGGTCTATGGGGGGCTATTTTAAAATTTATAAGTGTGACCTGGTTTTGACTCCTGCTCAAGACAAGGCTGAAGACTGCTGTAAGTATTCTATTTCATTACCCGATTAGTAAACCTTGTTTTACCCTGGTTTAAATTTGTTGCCTGGGGTTTGCTCTGTGTGCGCGCGTGACAGGGGGCAGCACCATGGTTACCAGCCATGTCTACCTGGAGGCTTTGTTAAAGGAAATTTATTACACTCCTGGAAAAGCTGGCTGTTTGGCAGGGTGAACTTGCTTTTTGAAGCAGCAAAAATATATAAAAAGGTTTTGAACAGAAGCCAGGTGGCCACCTGGCTTTCAGATCATGAAGCTTACACCCTACACAAGCCAGCAAGAAGACATTTTAAAAGAAACAACTGTTGCTTCAGATGTGGATGCACAATGGCAGGCAGATATGGTGGATATGCAGCACTTTTTCAAGCAGAACTGTGGGGTTAAGTACCTCTTAGAAGTGATAGACATATTATCAAAGTATGCCTGGGCCATAGGTCTAAGAGACATGTTGAGGGTGAAATATCCCAGGCCTTTATAATCACTTTTACAGAGGGTCACATACTTAAAAAATTACAGACTGATTGGGGGAAATAATTTTTAAATAAGTCTTTAAGCAAACTATTAAAACAGTATAATATGCACCATCTTGAAAGGTGAATAGAAAGGAGACAAAGAAGTGGTTGATGGTGAAATGGTTGGAGTGGTCAGCTAAGTTTAATGGCTGGGTGAAAGCCTCCCTGGTTTGTAACATAT